GTTTTCGTTTTCGTTTTAAACTTCATAATCCTTTGTTTTTATATCAATAGTCTGTGCATTACCCATCTAAACACTCAGTGGTTATTGTTGTATTTTCATGTCATTCAATGGAACTCTGGGAATGTGGTTATATGGATTTTACACTTGCTTGGTTTATCTCTTTCTGGGAAACATCAAGAGAATTATAATATAAAACGCGTTTGATTGTTGATAATATTGATTTTCTCCTCTTCATAAAGGCTTGAGGGGAGTTTATTCCTTCTGTATATCTTTTTTCTTCTTCGTATGGTTTTGTTAAGCGAATTGCCTGCAGTAGCATGATCTTAAATTGCGCTTGCGTGGTACTGGATCACTTTACCCGAGCCTGTTAATGTATTATATTCTTCCTATGTTTTTAGAGACCTTTGTTTGGAAACAAGCTACAACATCTGGGACTCCACCGTCTCCTCGTGATAGCCATACTTGCTCATCCTGGAAGAATAAAGTTATAGTGATTGGTGGCGAAGATGCACACGACTATTATTTGTCAGATGTTCATATCCTTGACACAGGTACTTCTCATTTTCCTCAAGTCACCTCGTTAATCAATCATATGGTCGACTGTAGATGTTCATGCAGGATATGCTCTGTCTCATATATATAAACCTCCTGATATCTTTTTGGTATTTTATTATAGATACTCTAGTGTGGACAGAGTTGAAAACTTCAGGAGAATTATTACCACCTCGTGCTGGTCATACAACCATAGCCTTTGGAAAGAGCTTGTTTGTTTTTGGGGGATTTACTGATGCCCAAAATCTATACAACGACCTTCATATGCTTGATATTGGTACGTGTTAATTCCTCAATAGCACCCCTGCAATAAATGGAAAATAAGCTAATCTGTAATGGCATGAAGCATTTGTCATTGTTTGATGACTGATTGAGCTTTCTCCAAGTTTATTATGGATATTGAATGCTGAGGGCTAAAATTGTTGCTTTTCTTTAAAGAACTTTCTTATGTGTACCGAGCGGTTGATGATTTCTCCGTTGTCATATCTTTTCGCTTAAATATCGTGTATCGCAGATAGTAATTACTTCTATTTACCATTTTCTATACTTGGTGTAGAAACTGGTGTATGGACCAAGATCACCACTATGGGTGATGGACCTTCTGCCAGGTTTTCAGTGGCTGGGGACTGTTTAGATCCCTACAAAGTTGGCACACTTGCTCTTTTAGGCGGTTGCAATAGGAGTCTTGAGGCTCTCGACGATATGTATTACTTGTTCACAGGTTTATACTCTTGTTACTTTCTCGAGCAACGCATGATTATCATCATTCTTTTGATGTGGACCTTTCTTGGATAGTAGTTTCTATCGCACGATTTATGGGTTGTAAAGAATTTGTCTGTGTAATTTTCTTTTCCAGGACTCGAAAGGGAGAACGAGAGGAAACCGGAGAAGTTGTCTTTGAGAAAGCAATTGAAGTTGAAATGTCAAGAACATAACCAAAATGCTACTCATGGAAGAGCTATGGTACAAATTGGTATCAGTCCTGATGTGTTACAACCGATCTCTGTGCAAGGCTTTGGGGCTCCATGTAAGGAAGTACCTTTTGAGTATCCCATGTTAGATTTTTTGAAGATGTATGCATTTCGCAAAGTAATGAAGGTAGAATGTGCAGTGAATTTTCTTTCCTGTTCCTAGCTTCCATCTATTGTTGAGTGAATGCTTTTGAAGATGGTTTTTGCTGTAGAACCAACAAGAAAATGCAATCATTCCCTTATCTAGTTTGTCTTGGAAAGTTCTATGTTGTCTATAAAACCAAATTTCCCATGACGTTGCCATGACCGCACCTGCCGAAGAATGTCAGGAAATTTGCTATAAATAAGCATGTAATGGACGTAGCATAAGGGACACGACATTTTATGTCCAAAAGATAGAGGTGTATCAGGAAATTTGCGTTCATGTTGCGACACGTCTGAATATCAAATGATTGGAACTTCTGTTAAGAGATTATTACTGGTATATATCTGATGGTATGATGTCCTACAATGCAGACAAACAAAACTTTACTTCGAATCAATCTCTGCATCCTCATGGAAAGAGAAGTTTTCAAGCGAAGGTTACAGAAAGCATACCAAATGGATACACAATTGAAACGGTCATCGACGGGAAACCTATGCGGGGAATATTGCTTTCCAACAGACCAGTCCCCGCTCACTTTGCTCATCATAGTACTGTTAGGTCAGGACGATGACTAAAAATGTTCGTTTTATTCAAGTCATTGTCAATATCTTCCTTTTTCTGGGAATATTATGGTTTAAGTTTAACATTCTGAATCCAGGAAGAGGACTTTTGAAGATATTGGTACGATATCGAATGGTGATGTCTACATCAAGTCGAAGACTTCTCGATTGAACGAGCAGGATGAAGTAGATAATAGACAAGAGGATGATAGCAGTATGAAGGCATCTGCTATGCATGAACCAGAAATGGTTGTCACTTCGACTACGCTCGTAAAAGATTCAGTGTCTTCGGATGCTTCTCTACCATCTAAGGTGACACCATCCCTTTTCATCTCCTTTTCCCTTTCTTTTATGCATTGTTATAACTCATTTACTTTAAAAATCTCTCTATGTGAGCGGGGCAACGAGAACTGGAAACGGGAACAAAACTTTTTAATATCTTTATTTATTTCGAGATGTGCGTTCTTCTGTGGGTTATTTATGTATGAACACGTTTACATAAAGTTTCGGGCTTCTTTATTTATACCTTTTAAAACGGTTATGGCGTTTGGCTGAACTTTATCTCTAGCAAGTCTTTCTCCTGGGGTTCGTGTTTCGCTATGCATACTAATTCTTGTTGTTAGAGCCCCAAGATATCCATACATGTATTGAGGTTCTTCTTGTTTTACCATTAACCATCAACTTAGAGCAATTCTAGGCGCCATTCTTCTCAATTTTTTGAAGGATAGATGATGACTTGGCGAGTGAATGTTCTTTGTTCTTTAGTGTTTGGCCTCCAGGAATTTATTATTCTTTTCGTCGTTTTGAAGAACAAAATTTGTGGATTTGTGAGTGTTGCTGCGATTTTGCTTAATAGTATCCGAATCTAGAAGACGGAAATCTTTAGCACACTCAAATTTCCTGTTAAGTGTCCTTGTTGACACATCGCCCGGTATCTGGCTCTGATACCATTTGTAACCGTTTAAGCCCACCGCTAGCAAATATTGTCTGTTTTAGCCTGTTACGTATCGTTGTCAGCCTCTAGGATGAGTTTCCACACCTTATAAAGAATGCTTCGTTTCCCTCTCCAACCGGTATGGGATAAGGGACTTTTTTTTCACTCCATACTCCGGATGGTGTTCCTAAGAGATGTTTCAGACCTATTTGGAATGATTCTCTAAGAGGTGTTCCAAATAGGCCCTCCATTTCTTGTGAAAACATGTTCAAATTATTTGCAATGAGTACTGTTTACGCCTTGTAAGAAAACATCACTTTTTTCATATTTATCTTGCATGATTAGAATCTTTTCTTCTGTTTGCAGACGAGTTCAAGTCTAGAATTGCCTCCTTCGAGTCCAAAAGATATTTCAATGCACGTTGCAATGGATATCGACGTCGAAATTTCTGGAGATGCAAAGACAAATGATGCCCTTGATTCGACGGCAGACATTCAGAACCAAAGTATTTTGGCTCCACCTTCAGACAAGGAAACTATTTCCTTTTTTTCAGACCAAGGTACGAACAAAACGCGATGAAATGGTATACGAACGACACTCTTGCAAGGCTTCTGAGTTTATAGTTTGCTAATATTCTCGTCTTCGATCATGTTTGCTTGTTCATACTCGCTGCATCCTTTCCTGCATTTCTGTTTTCCACATAGGTACCGATTATCTTTTTGTTTTTGTATCAGACGACAGAAGACCTGCTACAATCGACGACGCGATTCAAGTTTCAACACAGTTATGGAAATAACGAATGAGCAACGAAATGCTATTGTGAAAATAACCATAATGCACAAAAGCCGTTTGTACATTCATAGGAGAGCACAGATGCACACTAGGAAACTACTATATGACCTTACCATCTTTCTAACATATGTAGATCAGATCGTGTCGAATCCTTCCATTGATTTTGATTCGATACTCTCATGCGTATTCGAGTTGTACTTAGGAACCATATCGTCTGGCCATTTGAACCAGCCACCCACTTGTTGTTGTTGTTGTTGCAGCTTCTTGTAGACTGCCATTCTGGTTCGAGGAGGAATCGATGATCGTTTAGCCACAAACGTCCTAGCTTTGTTTTCATTAGCTGTTGAAGGCCTGTTCACCTTTAGCTTTCTAGTTGCAATTCCTTGTGAAATAGGAGTAGTAGTAGTGATTACAGTAGAAGTTGGAACGGTTTATGTTCTTAGAGGGAATTGCAGCTCTGTGCTTTTGACTCCCATGGAATGTGCAAGTTTGTATTGCTTGGTTTTGCTTCATTTTTTAACCAAGCCCTATGGATGAGCAGGTAGGTAGGTATCATTCAAGTAGAATTCAGATATCGAACCATATAAAAATTTAAATATAAAAGGTTTGGTTTGGTTCGATTTTTTTAGCTTAAATATTATGCCTTGTGACATTTAATTTTATTTCCTTGGTTTGGTTTTGATCGGTTCGGTTTGATTCGATTGGATGGTTTGGATCGGCTCGATTACATTTTAACGGCCAAATTGAAAATTTTACTATAGGTCGCGAGGGTTTCATGCTTTTAGTATAAATAGTGACATATGGAACATCCTTCCTTTCTTAACCATCTCGTAAAAGCATTTAACAAATAAATTGATCGTGTGTATGACCATATACTAAGGTTGAAATTTATTAATATAAAATATAACTTTATGATAAAAAGAATATTTATATATATGCTATATCTAGAAAAAAAAAATATTTTTTAAATATATGTTATTAAATAATTGAACTTAGATAATTAAAATATATATGTATTTATTGTTAATCAAAGTTTACATCTTTTTGTTGGCGAGGAATGCGAGCTGTTTCTTTAATCTTATGCTTGGTTGTAACTGGGAGGGAAGGTGGAGATAGGAATGGAATCTCTTCTGTTAGGCTGTGAAAGGACCAGATAGAGGAGCCTTTCATTTGCCGCCTCTTGTTGGGTTGGAGCCACTACTTCCCGCTCTTTTACTCTATTTTCGTCCCAAAACCCTAATACTCTTTCTGGTATCAACACCCTAATCGTGGGTTTTTTTGTTTTAATCTCAGGAATTCCGGAATTCCTCGACCGTAGCCTCAATTTTGAATCTCAGTTGATGCGGTGAGTGGTTCTGAGCTTGTTTATTGTCACTAGGTTGCGTTGATTTTCCTCCAGCCTTAGTTTGATTCGTTTTTGCTCTCTTGACTTCCACTCGCGTGTCGTTTGGCCGGATGGAAGTGGGGGGAAGTCGGTATTTTAGCTTTGCAATTCTTACTGTATACTGGTTGATGGGCTTGTATGAATTGAAGTGTTCTTATGTTTTTTATTCTGTGTTATGTAAAAGAGAACTGCGTGGGAGATACATTATAGCTTTATACTGTTCTGTTTCCAGTCGGAGGTAATGTGTTCCGGTGTCGGAGGTTATGTTTTTTTTTTTATCAGTTATCATTATATTACTTAACAGGGTAATGGTTAGTTATGGTCATAATTGATGATACTTGGGAAGCTCAAAGAGAAGAATAGAGTTACTTCCATCTATTTATATTATTTGTAAGCTTTTACTGCCATCAATGGATACCATGTCTGGATGTCCATAGCTGTGCTTCCTCACTGGATGCATTCATGATGCCATGGAGCAAAATTGGGTTTTAGATGAGTTTGCTATGTGTATGAATTTTTTTTGAAGTTTCAACTTATGTACTTTGCTACTGCTTTCTTGCTTGACAGGATGCTTTATCGGTGGCTTGAGCTGAAGAATGTGCTTGTGCCGTTGTGGTTCTTTTAACAAAATTCACCATTGTACTGGAGTCAAATTCTAGTTTTACAGGATTTGAGATGTATGGTCAAGCAAATTATGCTCCTCCGTTCGGGCAGGGTCCTCAGAAACCATGGCCACCTGCATACCAACAGCGTGCTGTAGCACCTCCTCCTCCTACCTCATATGGTCAACCAGGCCCAACAATCCCATCACGTCCTATAACTCAACAAACACCTGCCCCCCCACCTCAGGCTGCGCAATCTCTACATCTATCTCAGCCGGGTTCCCATGGTCCACCACCTCCCCACTGTCAGGGTCCATCCATTCAAGTACGGCCTGGTGGGATTACAAATATCCGTCCAGCATATTTTCATACGTTTCCACCAGTCCATGGAAGCACACAAGTTTCTCTATTTAACTCCAGTGCTCAGCAGAATGTACAACTTTCACACTCGGGAGTTCAGAACATGCATCATGTCCTGCCTCCGCCACCGCCACCACTACCACCACCACCACTACCTCCTCATGCTCCCAATTCAAATTTATTACGGCCTCCGCAGCCTTCTACCGTAGGTCCTCTTCATGCTCCTCATGCTCATGCTCGAATTCATCCACCACTACCACCTCCTCATGCTCGAATTCATCCACCATTGCAACAAGGTGGTTTGCAGGTCTTTCCCTCGATTCCACAACTCCCAACAACATCCAATTTTCCTACTCCCTCTTCTTTTGGAGGAGTCATGCAATCAAATCTTGGAAGATCTCATTTGCTTGCAATGGCTCCTCCTCCACCACCATCCTCTCCTCCACCTATTCCACCTTCTCCCCCTCCTCCCACCTCGTCCTCTTCTTCAATTCCAGACCCAGATTCTTCCAACTTGTCTTGCCGGTCTGAATTAGATCCTAGTTCTACCGTTCATTACGGTAAAGACTTGGAACCCTCTGAAATTGATCAAGGATGCGCACCTCCCAGTCATTTAGGGGATAATGTGCCCATGCATGACGAACTTAGAAACTCACAAGTTGGTAATGGCCTCATGATGGTTTCTAATGTGGACAATGAGATATTGTCAGATAAAAATTTTGTGAAGGTTCTTCCTCCACCTCCACCTAAGCCAAAAGATGATAGAATTGTCAAGAAGATAGAAGTATTATGCAAGTTCATTGCCAATAACGGTTCCATTTTTGAAGACACAACTCGCCAAAAGGAATTTGGGAATCCAGAGTTTGGATTTTTATTTGGTGGTGAACCAGGAAGTGAATCTGCAGTCGGCCACGAGTATTTCCAGTGGATGAAGAAGAAATATAGTTTGGCTTCCAAAAATATAGCAATGAAAGAAAAATCTCCATTGAGATCTTCAAGAATTGAACCACAATCTGAGAACTTGACAGTGTCAGCGGCATCCATTTCACCTGTAAACTCTGACATGGAGATGGAAGGTTAGTCTTAGTGTTGATAAATCTCTTCCCATGCAGTGACTTTGTTTTTCTTTAACATGCACTAACAGGAGCTTTGACCGTAAGCATTAACTTAGAGACAACCATGGTAAAATATACGAAGCCATTCAATTTTCTGCAGATTTCAGGGTTCTAAAAGCTTACTACTATATTCATCAGTTCAAAATATTATAATACTTTTGTTTCATGACACATACAACTCAGATGCTTTGGTTTTAAACGCACCATTCATTCAACTCAAGAGCACCTTTTGTAATCTTTGCTGGCTGTTTTGATTTTAGTCATTATTGAAATCCATTTTCGAATCCCTTGAAGTACAATGTCTTATTCTTGTATGTTTCTTTTTGTCTATTTATCTGTACTTCTGTCTTAAGAGTTTCAGTTTCCTGTGAAGAAAATATCTCCACTTTAAGTTGATGATTTGGTTTTCTGGTTGAATTTTGAGTGAATTTTGTTCAGTCGGGAGATGAAAATAATGTTGAGGGAAATGGATGTGACTATGTTTACTTGTACCAAGAGCTCTGTTAATGCTTAATAGAGTACCTTTTAGCAACTGAAATACTGAACTTTTCCCTCTTTTTGTTGGGTGGCTTACTACTGGTGGCTTCAAGATGACATTACCATAGCTGATATAGGAGAGGAAACTAGTCACTCATTTCCAATTCAAAGTTACGAGTGCAAATCGAGAAAAGAAGAGCATGATGCAAAGGATCAGTTACAAGAACCTGATGTTTTCAGAAGCTGCAGCCTGGAAAAGGAGAAGGTAGCTGAAGGTATGCTCTTGTCGTTTTTTCGTTTTATGTTCAATGGATTCATGCATGGCAGATTTTGCTTTGTGATGTCATGGTGCTTTGCATATTATTGTGAAGAAAAATGATTGTTTCTTATTTGAAGGAAAATATAAGAAAACATTGTTTTACGTCTTAAATGAACACTGAATAATAAAATAAGAGTTTATTTTTCTTGCTGCATCTTTTACGAAAAGGCATGCCAAGACAGAGAATCTTTTCTTCTTCTTGGTAGGGATCCACTACAGGTGATAGATACGAGGTTTGACATCTCCAAGGACTGTCTGCTTATTAAATAAGAGTTATGTTTTCTTTATGTTGAAAAATGAACAATGTCAATGTTTCAATGTAAATACACCCAATTTCAACTTATTAAAGTTGTGATTTGGATATCAAGCATAGTAATTGAACAAGAGAGTTAAACTAATTAGTAGGAACTTTGCAGTTTGTCTGATGTGGTCACGTAAGTACACCCAATGTCTCTGATCTGTTATCCTAGTTCTACAAAGTTGCATTAATTTCACAATACGTGATAGTTCCTTCAAGGTTTTTGATTTGTGGATTCTTTATGAAGTTTGTTTTGCTTTTGGTATTTCCTCTTGTTGTGATTGAACTACTACCTTTTCATCCTCATTTATGTATGTTTAAAAAGTTTCTATAATTCTATTTTAAGATGGAGGGCCAAAACTTCTGCTGGACCATGAAAAATCTGTCAGCATTGCAGCTTGCCAAGTTCACAGCCATGTCAGAAGTACTGCTGGAGTTACTGAACAGCCTCCAGGTAACAATTTTGGGAGTTCTATTACCTGCTTGCAAAATGACTTAGCTGGTGAAGTAGCAGCTTCTTCAGCCATTATTTCTAATCACCCTACTGCCCTTATTACAGGCGGCAGCCCATTTAGACTCATACAGGACTATGCTTCCGATGAAAATTCAGAAAGTGATGAGGAACCACATCATAAAGATGTCCATTTTGTTGCTACCTCATCTTCAACTCCAGCTTATTCTAAGACTTCCAACAAAGACACTGATAATTTGACTATTCTTGGATCAAAAGGTTCTTGCCAGGTTCAACGAGCTCAGTTTCTCTCAGAATCACCAAAACAGGTTTTTGATGCTAAAGAGGCAAATGTCAGGAAGACAGGGAATGAACAGAGTTACAATAACCAACAGAATCAAATTGGTTCCGGCTCTGGTTCTAAGTCTTTGAATGCAATGAATGGTCGTAGTATTGATGTTCCCCAAGATACTGACAAGTTACAAAAAGAAAATGATGCTGAACATAAGAAGTTGGGATCATCTCCTGTAAAAATAGATGAATTTGGGAGATTAGTCAGAGAAGGTGACAGTGATAGTGATTCAGATGATTCACACTATACAAGGAGACATAAGAATAGAAGAGCTAGAAATAGTAGTGAAAGTCGTTCTCCTGTTGATAGAAGGAGGGGACGAAGGAGTCCACGGAGAAGAAGGGAGAGGCGAAGCCGTTCTCGCAGGTAACAATTTCTTTTCACATGCATATGTTGTTGCTTAAAAGTTAAACTGTGAGTTAATTTATTCAATGTTGTTAAGGAACAATCTAGCATAAACATCAAATTAGACATGCACTTATTTCATTTTAATCCAAATTTTACTCTTCTATTGTTTCAGTTGGTCTCCTCGTAACCACAGAGGCAGAAGCAGGTCTCCTGTCATCAGGCGTTCAAGTCAGTTTCGTCATGAGAATATGAGACGAGATAAGGGTATGATAGGAAAATGCTTTGACTTTCAGCGAGGTAGGTGCTATAGAGGAGCATCTTGTCGATATGAGCACCATGAGCCCCACAAGAACGATGGATCAAGATTCCATAGGAGCAAACATCTAGACGATCACCCAACTTCCAAGAATATAAAGATAAGAGAGGACACTATGAACATGTCTAGGGAAGTATCAGATCTTGGGTATATTAAAATCGAGAGTCAGGAGTGCATCCCACATAATGAGTCCCCAAAAGGCAATACTCATGAATGGAAGACAGATAGGCCTACTGGAGATCCGGATTCATTTGTAACTAAATGTCAAAGTTCTAGAGATAGAATTGGCATAATTCAAGAAGAATTAATTTATTCAGTACCAGTTGAGGCTGTCCACATTCATGTTAATGATAATGTTCAAGAAGCAGAGAAGTCTTATGAGCAATGTTCAGTTACGACCTCCGCTGCTGAGAAATTCCCTGATGATATTTCCACGAGCATGCTGACTTCTGTAGAGAATTCTGTGGCTCAGCAATCCAGCATGTTTGTTGCAGAGCTTCAAACCGCCAATGACCTCTCACACCAGATGGATGGTTCCTCTGTCTCCAATTTGTTACCTGATCAAGTAACTGCAGTTAACGCGAATAAAGCTCCTGAATGTGAACATGGTCTGGATAGAACTTCATCAATTAAGCCACATTTTGGTACCAGTTCTGCTAGTCAGCTACCTTTGACCTCACAAATTTTATCACAATCTCCAGTACCGAAACCATTATCTGCTACTGCTCCAGTTTGTGCTATTGATGATGCCCATCTTCTTAGAGAACTGCCTCCTCCACCACCTCTCATAATTTCGCGTGTAGCTAGTACTGAGGTTCCAGTGCCTGCCCCTTATAATTTTGTGTTACAAAACGTTTCCTTTCCTTCTAAATCTTCACTACCAGGAGGTTTTCATCCTCATCAAGATTTGGTATCCATTCAACCATCTCATTATCACAGTACCTCTTTACTGCCTCCGAAACCATTGTATGATTCAACATTGACTCCTGTAACTACCAAAGATGGTATGCCAATGCAATTTCATCAGAGTCATTTGTCTCAAGGAAGTGATTTGGGTTCTCAGTCTATTAAGAAATCCCAGCCATTGGAGTTGCATTCTCATTCTAAGCTCGGTGAGTCCCCAGTTCAAGAGCCTTATCGAGCTCCAATGCACATGGATGAAGTTAGATCAATTGCACCAGTTGCAAACAATCAACCTAGTCAACCTTTTGGATTCCCAAGCTTTCAGAATGAAGAAAACTTTGGGCGGACTTCTGTGGAGACGAATTCTTCAAGTTTTTTTCCTCACCGAAACTTTAATGATCATTCTGTGCCCTTTACAAATGCAAATATAATGCAATCTTCTGGTGACAATTTTCCTCCTAGTGAATTTCGAAGTTCATTTTCACAGTTGCATCCTTATTCACGGTTTCAACAGCCATTGTACACCTCACAACCTGCACATGATAGTTTGTTCCGTGAACCAAGCCAGATTGGTAGTATGTTTCAAAATTATCCCGATCCTCTAAGCAGGAACCATTCATCTTTGCTTCCTGATTTAGGGGGTTTGGGAATTACCTCTTACCATAATCCTTATGCATCTACTTTTGAGAAGCCACTTAGCTCCAGCTTCAGATCCAACATTTTGAACTTTGGAAATGATGCACCTAGTGGTGATATACGTAGTTCTACTTTCAATGTGAGCAATGTTCACGTTGATGGGCAAGGTGCTAATTATGTTGGAACAAGGCAGACAACTGCTTCACCAAATTCCACCAAACCTTTGGGGAAAGTCTTGCTCAGTACAGGTGGTGATCAGTATGATCCACTCTTTGACAGCATTGAGCCATCATTACCTATATCCAAGAAATCTGATTGTGGTCAAAAGCTGGAAAAAGAAAGGGAATCTTATACAATGACAAGCCTTGGTAGTTCCCATAAATTACTATATGTGGAGGAGAACAACAAGCATACAGAAGTTGCCGCTGTGGCTTCAACTACTACTCTGGAGAATGATGAATTTGGAGAGACAGCAGATGCAGAGGCTGGTGCTGTTGAGGATGACCTTGACGACGAAGAAAATTTATCAGGAGAAATCGAAATTGATCAGGTTAAGTCCTCAGAGAAGAGCAAGAAGTCCAAAGGTTCCAGGTCACTGAAGCTTTTCAGGATTGCTATTGCCGATTTTGTTAAGGAAATTTTAAAACCATCATGGCGACAGGGCAATATGAGCAAGGAAGCCTTTAAGACAATTGTCAAGAAGACTGTTGACAAGGTATCTGGAGCTATGAAGAGTCACCAAATACCCAAGTCTCAAGCAAAGATAAATCGATACATTGATTCATCACAACGAAAACTGACAAAGCTTGTTATGGTGAGATCCCTTTCTCTCTTAAAAGAATTAAAGGATTATGGTACTTATCTTAGAACATTATAAGTATACAGTCAATTCGTTTACAATTCCATTTGCTTCTTAAAATCTTTCGTCAAAATAGATAAATTATTGATTACAATTTGTCGGCTAACGTTTGAAATTGAGAAGGAAAAACAGTAACAAACTACTATAGCACCTTCTTGGTGAACTTTGAATCTCATGAAGCATATTTTTGCTCGAACATTTTCATTATCTCTATAGCAAAAAGATAAACAATTTAGCCTCTGGAACTTGTTCCCCTTTGACTACTTCAATCTTCAACAATAAGTAAAAACAAAATTCGATGAATTAGTTTTTCATGTATGAATGTATTAGGTTTTACTTGATTATTTGTCCTTGTACCATATGCAGGGTTATGTTGACAAGTACGTTAAGGCATAGAACATGATGAAGTCTGCATCCCAATGTGTTGGACTATGAAAGCAACATTATTATGGTTGTTTCTCTCCTTGTTGGGTGGATATCAGGAATTATGCATTCATCTTGGACATCTGCAAGGGATGGATAGGTGATAGTTCCACGGTGTTGGTTGAAATGTCGGTCAGAGGTCATGGTCCTGTGGATGCTGGAGAATTGATGAAGCTTGCAATATGCTGAGCATCGTGACATAAGTTCTTTAGCATATGATTCTCATTAATTCCTGAGGTTGCAGCAAAATAACATGTATGTAATTTGTTTTCCTGTAAAATATTTAGTAGCCTTTTTGTACTTCCTAGATATACAATTGTTGATGCAGTAAATGTTTGCAAATGGTTGGTGTGGAATTTTCCTTTTTTTAAGTTGTATAAAGTTATTAGAAAATACTGTAGTTTGTTTGCAAACACATTAGAGAAGTGTTAATTTGGTGAGTTAGCCTGGAACTTGTTTCTTCAAGAGATTTATTAAAATTTGCTTTAGATTTTGATCGTGTTAAATGAATACTACTTATCCTTTGTCCTTGGGTTTACTGCAGGAAACAACTAAGTGGTGTGATATTACTATGAGCTTTATGAAAACTCTGTTCATGCTTCTGGTTTAACGACCTATTGAGGAACATTGCATCATCCCTCAACCATTTAATGACCATTGACTTCTTTAGAGTTGCATTTGCGGTCGAGTTTAATGGTATAAGGTATGTTTAGGAGGAGCAAATTGTATTAGTACTGAAACACGTTTGCTTTTGTACTTACTGTTTACTTCAGTAGGATGAGTATGTATGTTCAAAGTTTTGGATGAGTATGTATGTTCAAAGTTTTGGGTAAGTGTAGGTCATGTCTGTATATACCTGGTGTTAACAATAACAAGAAATGTCCACTGTTGAGCTTCTAAATGACAAGGAGTTGTTTCACAATTTTAATAATTTTTCGGGATGAGTACCGAAATATAGATGAGTTTGTGCTAACTTCTTGAGAAATAGATTAGATTTTGGGCATTGTTTTCAGAAACCTTGATGTTGAGCTTTGCTTTGTGATCCTTATTCTTTTATCTGCAACATTTTGACTATGCTAGGGAAACAGGATAGACCAGCCACCGAGTTCGTTACTCTTCGATTTTGTTGTCTTGTCGCTGGAGAATCCTGAACTTAATAGACTTATGGCCTCTGTGGATGGAATTTGACTGCCCTGTTTTATCCAAACCTGGCTTTCTGTTGTCTGGAAGACAAGCTAGAGAGGAAAATATCGGCAGTTGAACGTGTTAATGTCAAGCCAGAGACGACTGCTTGGGTTAGGCTGTTCCATTTTCTGCCTCTGACAGTTTGAGATACAAGTTTGACTGATGAGCTTCCTTTTCCCTTGAACTGAAAGATGACAATTCTCAAAGATTTACCTTGTTCTTAGAGCCACAAGACACTCAAGTTACATCACGGCACGACACGACACGACACACGTTTTCGGACCGTGTTTAGTCATGAAGTGATATAGTTTCCTCTAGTCGGACCCCGATTGCTGACATCAAAGGCTCTAGGATCTTGCTTCTTGGTCTTTCTAAGATGGGTTCTGCCAGCAAAATGTATTGTAACTTATAATTTTGGTTGAAGAGGGAATAGGATTCACTTGGATTGTGAAGAACCAATAGTTTGGAGGAATTCCTTTTATGTTGTACCACCTGATTCATTTATTTTTCTAACGTGTATGAGCATAGTTTCATGATTTAGAAATTCTACAATTCTACCTTAAAAATGGTAGATTTATTGTAATATTTGAGGAGAATTTTTTTTTTATATAAATATTACTTATGATAGCAAAGATTTGAACATCTGACTTAATTTTTTTTATGATTATTTATATTTTTACTTTATATTTTTATCTATATTTTTTTAAAATTTTAAAGAAGCTCGCCTGATGAATAAGAAACTTAAATAAAATAATATATTAAAGAATGCTTAAACAATTTTTTAAACGATAAATTATAAATTATCTCATAATTTCTCAACCTGATTAATAATATTCATACCGGTGATTTGATAGGAAAATTTGAATATTTATCGATATATTAGTTTTGTTTGTAAATTGAGAGTTAGTTAAATAAATGTTCCAAAGTTATTTATAAAATATACATAAATAAAATAAATCGAAATCTTAAATAGATATTTTAATATTTGGCTAAACTTGTCACTCCAAAACATGTTTGGTGACTCGGATAGTACAACCTTCAGGAGAATTTAACGAAACCGAACCGGATTATCTTTATCCAGGGACACCGCATAAACCCGGTAAATCTCAAGCTCGCAACCTACGATGAAAAAAGTGTGGAGGCGGGGCGGCTCGCGGGAGTTCAACTTCTACTTTTACATTATCTCTGCTTTATGTTTACATCACTTCTTCTCTTCTTCTTCTTCTTTTACAAGTTCATAAGTATTTCTCTGTGCTTCTTTCAGATCCTGACGACCTTCGGCTTCTCAAGGTTACTTTTATCTTCTCTGACCTTCGTTTTCCATTTTTTTTTTTTTTTTTTTGCTCTTATTGTCGCTGTGTATCACTTCGATAAGCGCGGTTCATTAGCAGAATCTGGAAAAATGTTCGTTTAGTGATTAGTGATGAACGAATCGATAATTTAGCCGCCTTTTGATGTTGAACTCTGTTACCGAGTACTGGCATTTTTCTCCCCGTTCTTAATGTTTATTCTTGTCTTTATCGCAATGACCTACTTTTCGGTTGCGTGAGAGGAATTCTATTATATGCACGGTTCGAATACTTTTATATTGTTGATTTGGTTTGGTGTTGATGGTAGAGCTGAGACATGATCGTGCTCTACAACATCTAAGAATTAGTCGTCTTCATTTTGGAGAAAAAAAACTTTCGATTTGGTTTCTTTAGTCTATTATTGAGTCTGAAAAATAGTTGATAATACTGTGTATTGAAAATGTGAAGGACATACGCACAAGGACATTGAGACATGCAGAATAATTGGCAGTTAACGACTTAAATTCAGAACATCTGATGCACGTAGGTATAGCTTATTCATTTAGGCTACTTCTCTGAATTTTACATTATCCGGATGCCTCGAGTGCATTATCTTTCTATATTTGTAGTGTTTTCATGTTAGTGTACACTGTACGTGACTTTATCTTCTAATGTAGGATTTTCATTTTACTATTAATGTTGGATTCTCTCGATATACTTTTGAGATGGTAAGAAAAACCAGTTCTGAGTTTTTTATGTCAGATTGCATTGCCATTTCACCCCATATTAGTTGTTATGAGAACTTCCATTTTTCTTTTGGAAAATTCATTTTTTCCATGCTTCCCTCTGTTTTCTATGAAAACTATATGTGGCTTACTCAAGGGCAGAGAAAACTTGAGTTTTGCCATTTAAGATGTGGTTTACACTATTGGAATAGTTTTCTTTTTATTACAAATGTAATTCATTGATGAAATGAAACAGAATGGGCTCGATGCCTCACAAACCCAAAGGAGTCAAAAAATATCCATCATGCACATGAATTTTTTGGAGCTTGTAACTTGTGGATCCATTTTTATACAATATGCTTTTGTCCATGTATCACATGTTTTGAAGTCTTTCCTGTTTCTTCATTAGTACATGTAGAACTATTTCAATTTTCAATTGAAAAGCTGGACTTATGTCTCATAAAGCTTATTGGATTTTTTTCGTCTGTTTTTTTTTTTTTTTTTTTTTTTTTGTTGCTGCTAGGAACAAATATTTTGATGCTCTCTAATTTGTTTGCATCGCAAGGTTGAAAAAGGCCGTAAATTTATTTATTTTTAAATACAAATATATTCCATTTTAAAAAATTAATTAATGTTTTGCATATCTAAATCCACATTTCTTTTATTAAAAAGATCCCTAGAAGAAAAATTATCCATTTAACTCTATTTAAGTAAAAAAATGTGGTTAACTTAAAATTCATTCTAAAGAGCATAATAATACTTTCAGCATTTGANGGATGGGATTCTGGAATTACTAATACCATATACCTTCACAAGCTCAGTAGTCTTAAGCTTTGAAGAAGACAGATTCTAGGAAGATCCCTGACTGAGAATGTCGAGGTTTCTAGGAGTGTTCAGATTTTTCCTTTGAAGTTAATTTCATCTGTGAAATTACACTACTGTAGATTAGAGCAGGTGATGGAAATGGCTGTTTGTAATGCAAAAGCTTGTTTGGAAAAGAAAAGGAAAAGAAAGAGGAGGAGGAGGGGTAACACCACTAGAGGCGATCACCGAGGTTGTGATCCTAATGAATATGATGCTTCAACAGAAAATAATGTTTCTCAAGAATCTCCAACAAAAATGTGTTTAAACATGAAGCCAGAAATAGGACAATCTCATTTTGAAGTAAATATACTAGGGGAAAAGAATGAGAAGAAGCACGATGATTTACAATGTGGAGAAGCATCTGGAATGTCTGTCTTGACCCTATTGAACGTTGAAGTTCTTAAAGAAGATGATGAAGCATCTACTTCCCCAAATGCAGATGTTTATTCAGCAGATGGAAAGGAAAATTCTTTAGTTCCCGAGGATCCAGATGGGAAAGGTACTAATATAGTTAAACGAGATGATGAGCATACAGAGACTGTAGATCATTCAACTCCTTTGAGCCATATCAAAACCCAAAGGATAAGGAAAAGAAAGCGTCGTCGTGGAAAGGGAAGGTCCTTAGAGTCCCCTAAAAAAAATTTGGAAACCAATGTGGAGGACGAAAAGAAAGTTTCTCTATTGAACCACCCTCATGAAGAGGAGACAAATGACCACCTTAAAAATTTTGTAACGGAAGAGGTTACTAATGGGGCTTTGTTGGAAGAATCAGTTGACTGCTCAATTAGTGAAAAAACAGAGTTGTCTGCAGATACGAAGGAAAGCTCTATGATTATTGCAGATCCTCATAGGTCCAAGGATTTTGAAAATGCTACCATGATTAAAATACATGATGACTGCTTAGAGACTAAGCATTTTTTGGCTCAATCAAACAGTGATGATACCCATGGCAAAACAAGAAGAGTGAGAAAAAGAGGTCGAAGAAGGAGAAAGTTTGCAGGTTCCTTTGAAGGAAGTTTGAATTCTGAAGTGGAAGACAATAATAAAGATGCTGCATTCAACTGTTTAAATGAAGTGCATGCAACTAGTTTGCATGAGCAATCTACCACCACCAAGATAGTTAAAAAGGTTGTGGCGGAAGAAATGTCGACTAAGGTTGTGGCGGAAGAAATGTCAGTCGACTGCTCTGTGGGTGTAATTACATCAGATGTGAAGGAGAGAGAGGAAACCTTAAAGGAAAAGATTCCTCGTTTTTTGTCTTGTGATGCAACAAATGGTAACAACAGTGCAACTGGATTTACAAAGAAAAAGCTTCTCATACTTGATGTAAATGGACTACTCGTAGATTTTGTTCCATATTGTCCACGTGGATACACTCCGGACTTCGTAATATCACGTAAAGCAGGTGAAAGAAAACACATCTAGATGTGGCCTTAGCGTTAATGACCATCAAACTCATATTTACTTGGCTATATTATTTCTTTTTTCAGTGTTTAAGAGGCCCTTCTGTGACGACTTTCTAAGCTTTTGTTTTGAGAGATTTGAAGTGGGGATATGGTCATCGAGAACCCGGTAGTTCAACCTAAAGCTGGTTAATTGATTGCTGTTTCACCTTATAATAGTTTTAAATATGATTTCCAGTTGTTTTTCTTTCTGGTGCATGTCTAATTTTGGCATTAGCTTCAAAATCTTAGCCCTGACGCTATTCATATCCTTACTCATGTTATTTTCTGCAGGAAGAACCTGAGTATGTTAGTTAAGTCTCTTATGAGAGATTCCAGACACAAGCTACTTTTTTGCTGGGTAAGCCAAGTCATATTTCCACAAAAGTAGGAGTATGCATCACCTTGCTACTAAGGAATTATCGGGTTGCTTTTACATGTTAATTTTGCTTACATTCTTCTTAACCATTTTTTCTTGATTTTCTTGCCAACGATGTCGAATTAGTAATGGTGGAATACATTTTTTTAAACTGGAAATTGGCATATGCATAACCTGATTAAAACTAAAGTTGTGTTTATTTTGAGCTTTGATATGAAAATTCAAGGTAAGAACATTAAATTTTAATTGTGGTGCTTGGTAAATGAAGTAGAAGCAACTTAGATTCAAGGGATTTATGTAACCTACTGATTCTTTTTTTTTTTTGGTCGAGTCAATTACCTGGATTTCCCCTCCTACAAGTTTCATGCTCTTCTATAACAATGCTAAGATGGTTGATACAGGATCAATCGCACTGTACAGCTACAAGGTTCAACACTATTGAGAACGATAGGAAGCCCCTCGTTTTGAAGGAACTGAAAAAAATATGGGAAAATTTGGGACCGAATCTTCCATGGAAAAAGGGGGAGTTCGATGCATCAAATACTTTACTGTTGGATGATTCCCCATACAAGGCCTTGCGGAATCCAGTTAGTTAAAAACTTCTACACTTTCCTCATTTGAGGATATGAACTCTTTCAATTTCTTTTAAGCTGATTAATAGTTTGTTTGTCTTGACTTGTCATCATTTTCAGGCTAATACTGCAATATTTCCTACTACGTATCAGTACAAGGACAGAGATGATACATCATTAGGTATGAACCATGCCACGTGTGAAGCCCTTGTATCATATTCTTTCATTCTTGATAAATGAAAGTTTGGTTCCTTATCCCCCCCCCCCCCCC